AGAGCGTACAAAGAAAGTCAGGTTACAATATAATTGGTTTGTTTTTTGTGATCCCTCGGTGGGACATCAGTAAGTTTATGGATTTACAAGGGTAAAATCCGGGATTCGATTCTCTACGGTGGACACGGAAAATAGCCCAATGTGGCTTTACTCTAACGACAAACAAACTGTCCTTTGTACGCGATGTTTTTTGTTTCAGGAGTAGCTCTCTGTGATTTTAGTTTGTTTGAAATTAAGCACAAAGCTACACAATGGGCTATCTGTGCTCTGCCCACCATGGATATCGAAACCCGGTTTCTAATGTTATATGTCCGAAGACATATCGCTGTGCCACTGGGGGGGGGGCTGTGATTTTAATGTATCATCCAAGGTAAAGATATGTTATTGAACTTCGTTTCCTTTATTTTAGAAAACAGACTTTTGTGTTATCTTATATATATATATATCAAAGGTGTGGGGGAAAAAAGCGATACGATTTAAGTATCTTCACGAAATTTGATAAGCTTTCAGTAAACATTATAAGTCATTTGTACAGAAAAAATAAGAATTTCTAATAAAGTATGTTTGATAAAAATTAATGATTCAATAAAGGAAGATGAGTATTGAGTACAACATGTTGTCTTCATTTCTTTTATCAAAAATATTACATGCAAAGTAACATAACAAATTAACAATAACAAAATAGATAGACAGGTATTAACTTTTATTTATTTTGATTTTCTTGCCAGCTACCATTTAATTGATGAAACCCGAGAATTTGAAAAAGCACTTTAAAGTATGAAGTACTTAAATAAGACAATGTTAGTAATATAGATAATGAATTACAGACAAGACTGTAAGTCAGAATTTTTCTTGAACGCAAGAAAAGTTAGTCCTAGGATATATTATAGATAATATATATACTTTATTTCTTCTTTAATGTTGCTTTTATTATTATATTTTCGCATTGTTAGCTTGGTACATGGATTTAGGGTGGACCTCATGAGATGGCCGAAACTATTATATTTTCGCATTGTTAGCTTGGTACATGGATTTAGGGTGGACCTCATGAGATGGCCGAAACTATTATATTTTCGCGTTGTTAGCTTGGTACATGGATTTAGGGTGGACCTCATGAGATGGCCGAAACTATTATATTTTCGCATTGTTAGCTTGGTACATGGATTTAGGGTGGACCTCATGAGATGGCCGAAACTATTATATTTTCGCATTGTTAGCTTGGTACATGGATTTAGGGTGGGCCTCATGAGATGGCCGAAACTCGTGGCTGATTATTAGGTTTACGTCTGCATATATCGTTAACAGCGACGGTACACACCTGATGAAACAGTTTATTCTAATCTTTATACGTAACAAAGTAAGAACAGTATATATATTATTACCAGGTTGGTTTTTATTTTTGATCTAGCTTTTAGTTACTATTTCTGTGTAGTAAGAGAGGTCAGTGTTTAAGGGTTAGTTCAGTTTAACGGATCCTCAGTGGGTCAGCGGTAAGTTCAAGGACTTACAACGCTAGAATCCGGAGTTCGATTCTCCGTAGTGGACAGAGTTCAGATTGTGCGGTGAAACAAACAATTTAACGGTTACGACTCTGGGAAGAAATGATTTAAAGTGAATGTTATCATAAAGTATAAAATGTCTTTGCTGGCAATGTTTGTGTGATAGTAACTTCAAAATAAAATACGTGCTGATAATAATTTAAACCACGTTATTAGTAAATCACCTAGTGTAGGTTTTCATTAAGAAGAGTCATTTGTAGTATTTCAACTATACTTTGACTAGTATATTTATATTTCACCAAAAACACTGTATTGTACAACCCAGTCGACCTGGTATTACAAGATTATTAAAATTATTAACTTAAAAAGGGGGGAATAGGAATTTTCAAAAAATAACATACACAAAAAAGATAGCTTAAAGTGAAAATGCAATCGCAAGAAAAGCAAAGAAACAAGCTTAAAGTTAAAGACATCGTATTGGCATTACTTTCTCAAGTTACAAATCCCCATTTTAACTCAATATCTAAAAGCTGTAATA